CAAGGGAGGTGGTGCTCTCCCCTACCCTAGGGGTCTTCAAGAGGAGGTTAGATAGGCATCTAGCTGGGGTCATCTAAACCCAGTACTCTTTCCTGCCTGTGCAGGGGGTCGGACTCGATGATCTATTGAGGTCCCTTCCGACCCTAACATCTATGAATCTATGAATCTATGATGTGAAGCGTGTGATTGGAGGGCCATAAGATGGGGTGTTACCATGTGCCCATGGCTATAAAACACCAGCGTAGGGGATCGCGAGGTGCTTTGGCACGTTGCAGGAGAGTGACTGGATTGCTCCAGGCCTGGGTTTGTCGGAGGGAGACAGTGGGAGTGCACGTGCAGCACGTGCATGGATCTGGCCACATGCTGATGTGCCAGAAAGTTGAGGAGGGCTTGGGCTCTGGAAGTGTGGGAGGGTTGGTTGGTGTCTTCTAGAGTGGCCAGACCACCCAAAAACAAACCAGGGAGCACCCAGCAAAGGCTCCCCACAGCTGGGACACCAGGGGCACCAGAACAGGAATCTCTGACACCGGAGTAAAGAAGATCCTGCAAGGAGAGTGGCCAGACTGCTCCAGGACCAGAGTCGAGACGAGCTCCTGCCTGGCTCCATTGCTGGATGTTTTCCATGCAGGTGGGTCCCCTCGACTTGGGAGGGGATTTGCTGCCTGGAAAGAAGAGAAAGGGGCAGGCAGGGGAGAGGAGGAGGAGGCAGGGAAGTGCAGGTGCAGCACGGAGTGAATGTGGTGTGAAGAGGCTGGGGCCAGGGGCAGAGAGAGGCTTGTGCTGGCCTTGCTGGCCTTCCTCCAAGCCCGGGCTTCCCCGGCAGAGCTGCTCTGGGAGATTGGCTGGCTGAGCGTGGGCTGCACAGCTGGGGACACATCCAGACCTCTCCAAGGAGGCTTGGGGCACAGCTGGGAAGAATCAGGAAGGCTTGAAACAGCGATGAAGTGTGAGTACAGCTTCAGGAGGCATCAGTAGGAGCAGGAAGTGCAATACTCGGGAGATGCCTCTACTCTGCACTGGTTCGGCCTCCTCTGGATACGGAGTCCAGGTCTGCACTCCAAGTTTTAAAAAGACACGGAGAAGTTAGAGAGGGGCCAGAGGCAGCAACAAAGATGCTGAAGGTCTTGGAAGGCAAGTCACAGAAGAAGAGGCTGAAGGAGCTGGGCATGTTGAGCTTGTGGAAAAGGCACCCAAAGAGGGGACATGAAGCAATCTTCAAATCCTGGGAGGGCTGCTGTAGAGAAGAGGGAAAGCAGCTTTTTTCTCTTGCTGCAGAGAGGAGGATGTGGAGCAATGGCTTGGAGCTGCAGCCCAGTCAGTTTAGGTTGGATATGAGGAAAAGCTTCTTCACCATCAGAGCAGGGAGGCAGGGAACAGACGTCAGGGAAGCTGGGGGCTCTCCACCTCTGGAGGTGTTCAAGAGGCTACACAAGCATTGCTTAGGGCCAATCTAGGTGCAGCAATGCCTTCGTTCAGCCAGGAGCATTTCCCAGGCCTCTGAACTTGGCTGGTTGCGATGCCTTCGTTCAGCCAGAAGCATTTCCCAGGCCTCTGAACTTGGCTGGTTGCCACATGGGGCTGGGGAGGAACTTTTCCCTGCTCCTACATCTGTGTGGTTTGCCGTCCTCAACAGCGCTGGGTGCTGCTGCAGCCCGGGCTGGGGATGGGACTGGGCTGTGCCAGTGCTCCTGTGGGACCAACCCCGATGGGGACTGAGCTGTGCCAATGCATCTGTGGGACCAACCGCACAGGGTCCTGGTGAGAGGGTCTTGCCCCCGTGCTCAGGCTCAGAATAATGCTCTTTTGTGAGAGAGGCAGTGAGCTGCTGGGGAGGGACGGTCTTCACCTCTCCCCCCTGGGGAGGAGGCTCTTCTCAGCCAGACGGGCTGACCTGCTCCACCGGGCTTTATACTGAGCCCGCCGGAGGACGGAGGGACTACCGCCACTGCTGGCCCGCAGGTGAGGTTAGGGCCCCCAAGGGGACACTCACCTGCCTGTACATAAATGCCAGGAGCTTGGGGAATAAGCAGGAGGAACTCATCCTCCTGCTTAACACAAATAATTACGATGTCATAGGGATGAGGGAGACCAGGTGGGACTCCACCTGATGACTGGACCATGGGTATAGATGGCTATACCCTGTACAGGAGAGATTGAGTAGATAAAAGGGGCGGGGGTGTAGCTCTCTATGTTAAGAAAAGCTATGCATCCCTGCAAGCTGATGTTGGTGACCAGGGTGGACGACTGGAGACCCTCTGGGTTAAAATCCGCGGGGAACACGGCACAGGGGACACAATGGTGGGAGTCTGCTACAGACCTCCCACCCAAAGTCAAGAGCTTGATCAGGAGTTCACCCAGGAACTGGCTGAGGCCACATGCTCCAGGACCCTGGTTGCCTCGGGTGACTTCAACTACCCAGACATCTCATGGCAGGATCGCTCAGCCAAATCCGAGAGGTCGCAAAGCTTCCTATCGTGTGTGGATGAACTCTACTTAACTCAAGAAGTCTACAGGCCAATGAGAGGTAAAGTGCTGCTTGACCTGGTAGTGGCTACTGGGGATGACCTAATCGGTGACCTAGTGATGGATGGGAAGCTGGGTGACAACGACCACAAGCTGATCCCCTTCACCATCCACTGTAAAGCTGGCAAGTCA